AAGAATGAACTTTGTCCCTGTTGTGGACAAAGTTCCAGACTAGTTCTCCTAATCCCAGGATGCCTCAGCCTAAATTTTCAACACCATTCCATCTCAGGTCTCTCTGACTCAGACATAAAATCTCTAAACTGGGTCACTCCATCTAAGTCCCATCATTTACAGATGTTCCTGAGGTCTATCAAGAGACGCATGTTTTCCACTACCACACTAGGAAGCCTCCACCATCTTTAGTGTCTTCCTTTGGATCTGGTCTGGAAACTTGGGAGGATGGGTTGACAGGTGGCTTTGTGGGTTAAGAGAGCCACATTCCTGGACACTTTTCTCAAGTTGGGGACTGCTGTTGTTTCAGCACCATGGCCAGAGGCTGGCGTCTTTCAGAACTGCACAGGCTTTGGTAGATCTTGTCACCTGGGTGGTAGGCTCCAATCCACCTGGCCCTTGAATTCTGGAAGCGGAGGGAGTGGACAGGAGTCCTGGCTTTGACATGGGTCCAGGGGGATGGTCAAAGCATAGGGTACCTCTTGATTTTACAAAATCCGGAGGACAGGACCTGAGTCCATGCACACACAACTACAGACTGCCTCTCTACCCACAACAATCCTATTTGTTGTTGTTAGTGCCATCGAGTTGGTTCCAATGCATAGTGACCCTGTATAGGGGGTTTCCAAGGAGTGACTGGAAAGTTTGAACCACTGAACTTGTGGTTCAAACTGACCTTGCAGTCCAGCGCTTGATCCCACAGCGCCACACTAGGATGCCACAGTCCTATTTATGGACATAGAAAAAAGGATTCTTTTAGATTAGAGCTGGGGCTTTAGTCCTAACTTAAATCCTTTAAGTCCATTAACTTTCCAGGTGACTCCTCAAGCACCCTGTCTGGCCTCCCTCACCACCTCTTCGAGGGTACATGAGGTGAGGCACTCAACTTACAGATCTCTTAAGGTCTGTGTTCTTGATCCTGTGAAGGTGGGGCTGGAAGGTTAGTTTAAAAAGCAACACTCCTCTTTTCTCAAGCACCATTGGCAAGAATGAAAAAAGGATGGGGGTGGGGAGAGGAGTGCAATCGAGAATATTACATGAAAGTAAAAATGTAATTACTATCCACTTAGGACTTATTCTGCACCACTTTTGCAGTTGAATCCTGCCGACACCCTCGCATACTGCCCAGGACCCCAGGCCAGAAGTGTCTCATGTGCACTTTAGATCATGGGGACTGTATTCCATACCGCAAACACGGCTTCCCTTGGCACCCAGATATCTAGTGAAAAAGATATTAGGGACTCCCAATTTCTTCTGTGAATAAACTAAGTTTCAGAGACTTGTCCAAGGTCACACAGCCCATAGATGGGCCCCTGAGGGAGAGGAGGGGAGGCTGTGTCCGAACGGTCGCTTGCGCCCCCAGCCCACCGGCCTTTGTGTCAGCCCAGGGCCTAGCTCCCAGACATTAGCATTCCAATGGCCCCAGGAGGCTTTGTCCTCAGACTCTGCCGGCTGGGGGATGGGGTAGAATGGGGGCAGGGCACCATAAATCTACCTGCTTGTGTGTGCAGACCAGGGTTAGGAGGTAGTGCAAGATTCATGTACTGCTTTTCTAGAAGCCAGGCTTGGACTTAAAGACTGACAAGGGGGAAAGTCTTCGACCCGAGGGTTTTCCCTACTCCCCCTTGGGTCCCTGCCCCAGTTTCAGGGACCTGGGTACAGACAGTTATCTCAGACGTCTGGGACTCCTCAACCAAACAAGTGCCGGGGGAAGGGGGCAGGCTTCCCTCTGACACAGCCTACAGCCTGACCGGTTTAAAAAGCGCTGAACACAAAATACAGGCAGGGAGGGGAAGAAGGGTGATGATGTTGTGGTGGTGCTGGGGCTAGTCGGATCAAGTGCTCCTTGAAAAGAGGCATAGGTGATCACCTCAATGCAATTCCACACCCATAGATGGACAGCCTCCGGCAATGGAACCCCAGAATTTTCAGCAACTCCATGGAATCCCAAGTTTTCTTCTGCTTCTTCATCACTAGGAGAGTAAGGTCCATAGTTCCAGGTCAAATCCCCCCATCCCCCAAAGTGGCCGCCCAGCAGCTTAGTTGGTTAAACCTTAACACGGGCTCCTTTTTTCTTTCTTTCTATTTTAATTCGTGGGGAGGAGGACCATCTGTGTAGTTGGGTGACTAATGGCTTCTTAATGAGCACCCTGCAAAGCAAGAGAGGGACTGGGCAGTGGGTACGGCTGAAGCTCCCTGGCCACTGCTGCCAGAGCACTGTGTTTCACAGGGACATTCTTCTCCAAACTTTAAGTTCTGGCTGGCTCTAAGCTCTATTTCCACCACTGTCAAACCTCCTCATTTCAGATTTGGAAGCTGCTTGTTGGAAGCAGAAGGCTTTAAGGCAGGATTTAAAGTTTAAGGTTGGCATTTGAACCCACCCAGAGATACTGCAGAAAAAAAGGCAAGGAAATCTGCTCCCTTTAAAATCAAAGCCAAGAAAACTCCATGGAGCCATTCTACTCAGTAACATATGAGTTGAATGAGCTCAAAGCAACTAACAACTTTATGTTGTGGTTGTGATGCGCCGTGGAGTTGGTTCCGACTCATAGCAACCCTGTACAGAGTTTCTGAGGCTGTAAATCTTTACAGGAGCAGAAAGCCTCATCTTTCTCCCGTGGAACAGCTGGTAGTTTCAAACTGATGACCTTGCCGTTCGCAGCCGGGCTCATAACCACTGCGTTACCAGAGCTGTTGCAACTCAGACAGAGCTGCTGACACCTGCCCCTGGGCGGTGCCGTTGGTGGAAAGTTGGCTGCAGCAGAGGTCACCAATAACCCATTAATCTCCTCCTCCTAGATTAAAGCCCATGAATGAAACAAGGCTTCTGTTCATTCGTTTGTTTACAGCATCCCCCTTCCTGCCCTTAAACTAGGCCCTTGATAACTGAGACGTTTCTTTTCCAAGCTACCTTTAGCAACAAGGGAGCAGAGGTGGGCAAGTGGAAAAGTTCTTTTTGAAGTGGGGAGGGTGCAGAAGAGAGACACAAGAATCATGAACCCTGCAAAGCTACCACCTTTGCATTCAGAGACCCACCTACCTGCCCGCTCCAAGCCTGTGGCCAAGCCATGATCCACCAGAGTTGGCAGGTTTTTTCCAAGGACACCCAAGGTGGACCCAAGGAGGCCTCTAAGCTTCACAGGATAGGATTGTTGGTGTTAAGTGCTGTTAAGTAGCTTTCTACTCATGGTGACCCTGTACAAGGTTTCCAAGGAGCAACTGGTGAGTTTGAACTACCGATCTTGTGGTTCAAACTGACCTAGTGGTCCAATACATTGTCCTGCAACATGACATCAGGACCCCAAAAGGTAGGATACCTTCTATTTTGCTGCTCCCAAGCCCTAGGCTGAATCTACTGTTCCAACCTGCTTTCCTGAGACCCTGGGAGTTCTGAAGCCATGGAGGGGCAGTCCACCAGCTCCCCTAAAACGTGGTTCAATACCTAAGGTGAACCACCTTGGAAGTAACTGTGCTTCCATTTTGGAACCATTTTGATGACCAAATTTGTTCGGGAGGAAGGGCACTAGAGATTCCAACAAGACCGCTACCTTTTATGCTCTCTGTGGCTCCTCTCCAATGAGTCAAGACACAGCCATCCCAGCGCGGTTTGTAAAATGTGCTCCTGGGATACTCTAGGACTCTAAGAACTTTGGGGGATATTTGAGGACTCCGATTCTGAGACTGAGTTATTCCCTCTTCCCTTCCCCTAAATATAACAGTCCCTATATCCAGCCTGCTGGTGTAGAGAAAAGAGTAGGCAGTCCTACTTTGAGGTTTGTTTTTCTTCTAAACTGCCGTTTTGAATTCAGACAAATCTCTGCCCCATAAATAAAACATGGAGGCTGGATCAGTGATTTCTAAGCAGCAGTCAAGTTTCACTTTTTAACTGTGTATGGGTTGTTTTGCTACCTCAGAACCGAAACCTGCGGGGGGCCTCTAGCCTAGGCCCCAGAGGTTTCATAAACTCCCGGAAAGAGGCGTGTCTCCTCTCTTAGGACAGAGGCTCCTCTCTAGCTCCAGTCGTGGCGGCCTCTCCCTTCAACCATGAAGTCATCTTGTTCAATCTCGGAAGGTCTGTTTTTCTTTTCTTTTTTTTTTTAATTGGCACAAAATTTCATTCACCAGTCTCTAAATAATCTTAATTACAAAATATAGACTTTTCTCGTGATGGAATCTCATAAAATAAATACAAACGTATGAATCAGGGGAAGGGGCTGTATAATTTACCGTACAAAAATTCTTTTCAAACGACATCGTATAATTCACAAAGTGGTTTCTCAAAAAGACTCGCAGGGCTCTAAGCGGGGGTGGCGCCGCTCACGTTTCGGGAGCAGGATGCACGGAAGTGGGGTGACACTGCTCGCACGGAGATCCGAGTTCCCAGTTCATAACCTCACCGCCCCCGCTCGGAAAAGTGCTCGAGAAGGCAGAGGATCGCCTTTATAGATTAAGACAGAATGGAATGGCCCCAAACCCGGGACTCGATGCAGAGAGGAAGGAAGACAGAGGAAAGAAGTCTTTGGAAAGTCAGATGCTGGGGGAGGGAATCAAGCGCGCGGACCATTGGATTAAATCATATGGGGGAGAAAGGGGTCATAGTAAAAGACAGATGGATAGTCAGACAGACAGATCCGGACTTGAGTGCGGGTCGAGCGTCCGGAGAGGGTGGATGTTTCTGGCTATTCCTCTTTGCACGAGATTTTGGGGTAGTCCCAGAAAGGGACCTAAAACGCTCCCAGCTTGCACCCACTTCACGCAGGAAGAGGTAGAGGGTTGCAGGAGTTGGCATGGCGCGGAAGGCTGGAGATTGAACCCGGTTTGCCGCCCCAAAGGCTGTGAGGGCCTCCGGGGATTGGCGAACGAAAGCCAGGAGAGAGGCTTTAGGGCTTGAGAGCCGCCCACCCCTGGCCGCCTTTCCCCTCTCTCCTAGCACCCCACAGCCAGGCCACCTATGGGCCTCTTCACAGAAAGTCTGAAAAAGACAGGGCGCCCGGGTGCAGGCAGACTGGGGTGGCGGGTGCTTGCAACCCGGGCAGCTCCTCCAGCGAGGCAGCGGGACTCAGGCTGCTAGCCTGGGAGATAGGGGAGTAGAGGGAGCCCCAGTCTCCGGGGAAGCCGCCTTCCGAGCTGGCCAACTCTACGCTGGGCGGTGTTGGCGGCTCCAGCCGGTAGAGACTGTGGTCCGCTATGCGCAGCGTCTGCGTCAGCGCCCAGATATAGTTATGAGCGAAACGCAGCGTCTCAATCTTGGTGAGTTTCGCGTCGTCCGGGAAGGTGGGCAGGACGCCTCGAAGAGCATCCAGCGCGGAGTTGAGGTTGTGCATTCGATTGCGCTCGCGGTCGTTGGCTTTCTTGCGCCGGCTCCGTCTCTGTCTGCTCAGCGCCAACTCGTTCTTGGGCCTGCTGCGTCCCCCATGCCGCGCCCTGAACTTCCTCTCACCCTCTCGACAACCGCCCCCTTGGGCCTCGGCACAATCTGGAGACACACGAGTGGGGCTGGGTGGGGCGGACGAGGCACAGGTCACTTCGTCGTCTGAGACGCTAGGGAAAGGCTGCTCAGTCTGGCGGGATGTTTGGATAGCAGGCGCATCCGAGGGATGAGGCGCCATCCTGCGGCAGGTTAAGAGGGACGAATCAGTGTCTCTCGGTCACTCGAGAGCAATCCCTGACCCCAGAACCATGTGGGGGGAAAAACGAGGACGAGTCAACCCTTTCGGGTCAGAGGACCCCCCTCCCGCTCGCCCCTAGGTAGCCTCCAAGTGGCAAAAGAGAAGGTGTTACCTAGTTTGCCAGGAGCAAAACGTACAGAAGAGCAAGCAGCACGGTCTAAACTGGCCTTAGCCGCCCGCACACTCAACTGAGCTGCAGATGCCGCTGCCTGGGATTTTCCTCAACACTGGGAGCCAGAGGAGAAGCCCGAAGTCTGCGGGTCCTGGGCTCTGCCTGTCGCTGTCTCTTGGCGCGGCTGTGGGACCACGGGGATTTCCTGAGCCGCAAGTCGTGTGCCCCTTGGCACGCTTTATCTGCTCGGCCCGGGCCAGGAGCGTGCCTGCCCGGCTGCTGCCCGCGCCGCCGGCCAATCAGCGCCCGGATCCTGGGGCCTCGACACGCGAACCCCCTCCTCCCCCCCCTCACCCCCACCTTGCGGGGCACAGCTGGATTCCGGACAAAGGCCTCCCGTCTGGGGGGGCGGGGGTAGGGGGTGGGAGACAGGGGGTGGTGTTGGAGAGAGGAGAAGGCGCTCTGTTTGCTCTCTCCCTACGGGCTCAGTCCCAGCAACTCTCGGTTCCTCAAAGAACCTCGCGCAGAGCGCAAAACCGTTTCTGGTCTCTCATAGCTCCTTGCTGGTATTCCGTCATTCTTTAGCTTCTGCTCATACAGACCCTCTCTTGGTACCCTGGTGAGGACTTCAAGAAGCCTGTACCGAAGGCCACTCCCAGTGTACTACACACGGGAAAACTTAGGCACTGAGAGGGAGGCGGGTTTCCCCAAATTGCATTGTGAAGTGGTGTCAGAGACACACGAGGAGCCCTGGCTTACTAGTTTGGAGAGGGTGTTGGTGTTGTTAAGTGCCGTCGAGGCTATACTTCTTTGCTGGAGTAGAAAGCCTCAGTCCTCCCTCCAAGGGACTGGTGGGCTCGAACCTCCGACCTTGTGGTTCGCAGTCCAGTGCTTATTGTACAGAGTCACTACGCTCTGCCCAGTTTGGAGCAGCGTCCACTAATTCCTGCTGTCACCCTACATTCCTGCGCTATGGGTCAGGTTAAGAAACACGTGGTGGGGTGATGTTTCACTGCCTGGGCTATCTTGGGAAGGAGGCCGACGGCCGAGAGAGAATCTTTTTATGTCCCTGTCACTCAGAGACTTCCTAAGGTGTGTGTGTGTGAACCCTGCGGCCCCAAACCTTCCCAGATAGGTGGGGTACTCCCCCGACCCGAGACGTTCTGATCCACAGAGTATGACTGTGCCCCGTCCTTCGAGGAAAATATTCCATTGACACTTCGGGGGACAGTATCGTAGCGTTCTTGCCAGGGCCTTCGAGGAGAGGCCGGGCTGTCGGGAGAGGGCCAGTGAACAAGCCTGAGTAGTTGGAGGTAGTCTCCAGGGCTGTCTTTTGGACGCCCATGGAGTGCTAGAGCTGCCGCAAGCCAACCCACTCTTTCTCCTCTTAGCCCTCCAATCACCGGCGAGCAAGGTCTGCAGCCGCCACCGGGCCCAGCCTCCTGTCTCGCTTTATCCCGTGGGGAGCACGGGACCCTTCGCTGGCTCCAATAATAGGAACTAACTTTTCCCAAAGTGGTTCTGAATCCATCATCCTTCCTTTCTTCCCCGCCTCTCCCTCTTGTCCCCGCGTCGGACACCCCGTGGTCCTCTGCTTCCGGTCACTCACCAGGGGTGAGGGGTCGCGGTTTCCGCTCCTGACCGAAGCTTGGCTACCGGGAAGGAAGCCGAAGCTGGAGCGACTCGGGTCCAGGCTAAGCCTCCGGAGGCAGAGAAGGCTCTGTTTTCTAAGGAGCGCAGAAACCCCTAAGCCTCCGCGAAGGTGCGGGAGGGTCAGAAGGCTGAAAGGCTGAGGGGATAGAATGTGAGAAGGAGGTAGGTCAGCATGTCTGCAAAGAGCGTTTCCCAGGCTGCTTTGGTTGTGGTGGTGGTGGATGATTAGTGCCAAAGCAGAGAGTGAATGTGCGTGGGAGCCATAGATTCTGGAACTGGAGTGGTGAGCAGAGAGCAAAGGGAATCGGAACCCCAGGTCAGGGTCAGGACCACAGAGATCCCACCAGGACTCTTGGTTAGGCATCTTTGCTGTGGCTCCTCACTAAGATCATGGCTTGCTCCAGACATGGCTTCTAGTCGTAAGAATGGAAACCCACTTTACAGATGTAGCTGTCATGGCCCAGAGAAAGGAAACGACACACCAAAGTCACATAGAAAGGTGTGTCAAACCACATAATACTTAGATCCCAAAATGCTTAGTATAGATTCTCTCCTGTACCCGCTTCCTCTCCTTGATTCCAGGGAAAATATTTTGTCAAGGGAAAATCAGAGGCCCCAAATACAGAAAAGAGGGGATGCATAGGTCTGTGTGGTATAACTTGGTATATATTAGAAAAGGCATAGTGACCCCATACCCCAGCGTCAAGAGGAGCCAGAGTCCACTCAAGCCTTATCGCTCGATGTTTCTGCCCCATGCCCCAGTGGTGCTTGATTTATATATACCCCTACGAATTAGGAACTGAGAGGGGAATGCCCTGAGACCCAGCCATGCTCCGTAGAGAGAACATTGGTACTAAGGGAGACCAGCACCCGTATGGTTCCCTAGTGGCCTGAAAAGCAGCACATACTCTGGACCTACGGTGGACCTAGATGGCGACCGAGGGCGGGACTCGGCCTGGATAGGGCCTGATCTAAGCGTCTAATGGGTGTTGGTGAACTTCCCGCAGTAGAGAAGATTCTGGAGCGTCTGGGGGACTCCTTAGTGGAGAGAGAACCCTGAGATCTGCTTGGAATCCTTCTTTAGCCTCCATAGAGCGCCTCCATTTCAGGACCCTCCAGGACTTGTAGGCTGCCACCACTCGTGCTATGCGCAAAAAGCAGTCAGGGCGAGGAGCGCACAGCGGGCGAGAAGAAGCCTCTTATTTGCTGTTCGCCGGAACTCCCAGTGCTTCTGGCCAGGAGGGCGGAGCTGGAGGTTGAGGATCCCTGGGAGGGAGGTTAGAGATCGAAGATTCATTGCCTCTCTTTCTGCTGGGGGGGACACACAGACCCCTCTCCAAAATTAATCCCTGTGTCTTTAGCGGCCGAGGCGCAAGGCAGTATCAACTCCGTGCGCTCTAGTTGGTGTTTGTGAAACGCCTCTTCCCTCAGGGAGCAGACCCTGTTCTTGGCAGCCCCAGACCAGTCATCGCCTCTGGGGCCTCTGAGACCCCTATGTCCCGCGACCCTGTCGGATTTAAGTTTGTCTGGAGGTTGTGGGGACCCAGGAGAGAGGCGACAGTTAGACGCCTGGAGAACACAGACAAATTGGAAAAGACGCAACGGCCGCCTCTGCCAACTTCCTGTTGGCGGGGTAAATTCGTAGCCTTGCGTGGGGGCTCTTTGAGAATCGAGTGGGAAGGGAGGGGAGCCTTGGGAAGCTGAATAGCTAATGGTTTGCCAGAGGAGGGGGCTTCTTTCTCTCGCCTTCGCCTCAGCACTGAAAGAAGGGAAGACAAAAATCTGGTGAGCGAGCTGCCCAGGCCGAGACTGGCCACTTCAAACAGTCCTTCAAACAAAAGGAGACGAGGAAAAGAAAGCCCCACCTGTCTCCAGTGTTTGCTAAAATAATAATAAATAGATTTCGTTTAATAAATAATTACAAGAGATTGTAAAGTGGAGTGCTTTGGAAAACATCTACCGCGGGAGTCAGCGCAGCCAGCCATCACCTGCTCCCAAGGCGGGCAACTTTATTGTTAAGCCACCCCCAACTAGTTCGCCTCTGATAAACTCTCCCTTTTTCACAATGACTGTTTACTCATAGTTAGCACAATATTACCTTTGCTGTGATAAACCCGGAGGGGGGAGACCTGGTCCCTGGTCCCTGGGCACACCTGTCCCAGAAGCTGACACATGGATTTGGCACGGAGCAGGCCTCCCCCCGGGGGCCCTTCTCCCGTGTACATTGGCCCAATTGCCACCCATTTATAACAGGTTGGCTGCATGGCCTATCTCGGTCCTATTTGTCTTCTTTTATTGAAAGCATATGGTCTCCAAGGGCTCACCAGCCCCATATTTCATCTGCCGGGAGCTGTGGCGCTTCCGCAGGCTGGTGCTGCCCAGCGCGCACAACTCCCCACCCAACGGCTGCTGCGCCAGCTGAAGAGATGGTGGGTGTGGGGTGGGGAGAGATAAGGCAGGCTTCTCATTCGCTTTGGGATAGAGGTCATTCCCTCAGAGACTCCCCCTTTCCAGGCCCAGGGACCTCGTGCGTTCTTGAATGGGTGGCTGGCTCTTTTTCTTGGGTAGGTGAGAGGGCGCCATATGCCACCCCCCAGGGCGCATGAGGAGCTCCTGCCCAGGGAGTCTATGAACAAAGGGAGGAGAGGGCCAGGGCCATCAGGAGCGCCTGAGGTCTTTATTTACAAATCCCGCCCCCCTGGCCAGGGTCTCCTCCCCCTCGGCGTCCGCAGCTCGAGCGCAGCGCCTGGAAACAAAGTGTCCACATTATTCCCTCTGCCGTCTGAGATGGTGAATGCGTGAAAAGGTGCATTGCGCACGGAGACACCTGTTGAAGCGGCGCCTCTTCTCAGCGCTTCTCTGTTCTGTCCTCTGACAGGAGCTGCGCTGGGAGTGGGGGTGGGAGGAGGGAGAGATACTGTGATTTGTGGCGACATATGTTGAGCAGATCGGTGTGTACTCTTTACAGGGACACACGCACCCTCGCTCCCATACACACCCCGCGAGAAGGAGCAGCTGTTCTCCTCACCTTCCCCGACATAATACCTGGCGCTTTGGCATTGTCTTTTGAGACTCCAACTCTCCCCTACCCCCTCTGCTTTCCTCCCCCACACGCCTTCCCAATCTTGGCAGCTTCGCTGTAGGACTTTATTGTCAGATTTAACAGATGCACGTT